GGCTACAGCCAGACTGAGCCCTCGAACTCTCTGCGGACAAGAAAACAGTATTTTCAAAGCAAGGTCTTCTAAAAGAGGATTCAGCAACCCTCAAGGGGAGGGTTTAGGGTTAAGGTTAGGGTTAGGGTGCTCAACAAACAAGTCTGAGGGGTTTCCTGAAGAATTCTATGCTTTGATTGGGAAGTAGACCTCATCACCCAAGGAGGAGGCTCACCTCTTCCCGACCTGCCTGCCTCCCTCCCCCACCCTGTGCCTGCCTTGTATAAAAGGCATTGAACTCTGCTGCACCTTCTGAGCTCATCAGCTGCCCCGCCCTGCCCTTTTCCATGCGCTCAGCAGCTCGCTGGGCTGGCCCTCAGGGACCGCAGCAGCAGGCTCCCCTGCTTTCCAGCATCTGCCAGTGAGAAACACAGCAAGAGATGGGGAGGGAGGGAGGGAATGAGGTTGAGATATTCCCTTCCCTGCTCCCTCTCTCCCAGGGTGCTGTAGGTTGGCTGGGTTACATACTGCCGGCAGCCCTCTGCATACAGGTAGCCTCCCTTCTCTCTATTCTGAGCTCTTTGTTGTTGCCGGCTGGGGGACACTGTACCCTCTCTGGCAGTTTCCATGAATTCTGTCCCTGCTGTATTAACAGTACCCCCATCCCATTACTAGCTTGACTGTCTCATCTCTTTCTGGTAGAAGTCTACAGATGACTTTCAAGATGTGTTTTAATACAACAGAAACATTATTTGGTAAGTTAAAATATGTGTAAGTCTTTTAGAATGATCTAGTGCACCTAACACTTCCTAGTTATAAATATAACAGCTCTAAGAGAAGGAAAGAAGACTAAATTATATTCGCAAGGGCATAGACCAATTGTTTTGTTGCCCTCAAAGTCCCCTCACACACACCAAAACCTTAGGAGATTTCTCTGTGCATAATGGTTCAATAAATGAGAAATTTACTAATAGATAATACAAAGATGACTGCATTGGATCCCAGATCTCTGCACGCTGGAGACTAACTCACAAATGTCCTTCAAGGTAATCCAAGTTCAGTTCTAAATCTATCTATATTTCTGGTCTTGCACACCATGGAAAGCACATGACACGGAGGATTCGCCAGGTTTGAAGTTAGACACTGCAGAGAATGGAGCAGTAGACTCTTCTCCCGATGTCTGTGAGGAAGACAGTGGGAGCAGGCAGCCTGATACAAGGCAAAAGCAATGCAGATGTAGCTACAAGGGCTGTACTTTGGTGTACACCACTGGTCCATCTGCCACAGTGGAATTCCCAGTGACTTGGCCAGCCAGAGAAGATGTTGGAAAAATGCTCTCCCAAAAGGTCTGCTGTCTGCAGCCTTGGTGGAACTACTATAAGGGCAGATAATCTTTAGACCTTGGTGACATGAGCAGAACACAGTCCCCAAACAAAGAAATGTGGGGTCAGAGGACTGAGAGGAGAGCTCAGGAATAAGCTCTCTCTATGCTATCAACAGCCTCATCTTATTGCAGCCATTCCTAACCTCTGCTCTTCTACCTGTTCCAATCCAAATTCAACCATGCTTGGGGAAGATCAGAGGTGATCCTTGACTTTGAGATTTTTGTAATCTGTACAAATGGAACTATCATACATGTACACACTGATTCTCGAAAAGTGACTTTTCACCTACAAGACTGACTTAGCCATTTGGGGAGAGGCCGCCCAACACTGCACTAAGCTTTCTTTGTGCATCAACCTTTGCTACCAGAGAATGAGCTGCTTAAGGGTGAGAATAGTTTCCTACTCACGTTTCTGAATCCAATGTCCAGTGCAGGGGCATGGCATAGATGCAAAGCAAATGGTTTGCTTGGGGGGCCAGCGCTGTGGTGCAGCAGGTTAACGCCCTGGCCTGAAGTGCTGGCATCCCATATGGGTACCAGTTCGTGACCCAGCTGCTCCACTTCTGATCCAATGCTCTGCTATGCCCTGAGAAAGCAGCAGAAGATGGCCCAAGTCCTTGGGCCCCTGCACCTGGGTGGGAGACCCAGAAGAAGCTCCTGGCTCCTGGTTTTGGATCAGCACAGCTCCAGTTGTTGTGGCCAATTGGGGAATGAACCAGCGGATGGAAGACCTCTCTCCCTCTGGCCAATTGAGAAGTGACCCAGCAGATGGAAGACCTCTCTCCTTCTCTCTCTGCCTCTCCTCTGTGTAACTCTGACTTTCAAATGAATAAATAAATCTTTAAAAAAAAAATGGTTTGCTTGGTGTGTTAGTTTCAGTTTGCTAGCTGGAAGAAGAGATGGAAATCTGAACACACGGGGTTGAATGATGCTTGGATGATAAAGGAGTGGAAAGAACGTGTAGGCTATTCTTTTTTAAAATTGTTTGCAAGATAGTTGGTACCTCTCCTGTGGCATTCAGCATGCCTTATTAAATATTTATTTGGCTTACCATCACTTCTGTTAGAAACCAGTAAACTGACTCGCTGTTCTCTGAAGCACAAACAGAATCTGGCTTGCAATAGGCTCTATTTGTTCATATACTTCCCAATTCCTTGTTTCCAGCCCTCATTTTCTTTTTCTCTATGGGAGCTGACAGTGACTATTCCCTTCCTGAAACTTCCTCCCTCAGCCTCTGTGGCTCCACTTTCCTGGTTCTCTTCCCACTGTCCTCAGCATTCCTGTCCCTGTTCCTCCAACAGCCTTGGCATGTAGACACTCCCTGTGCCCTGCCCCTTGCCCTTGAACTCTAGTCCACCAAGACCACTATTCCTGAAATACTGCCTCTTTTGTGGATGAGCCCTCAACAATTACCTAAATCCCGGATACCTCTCACACACCCTTGCTCATGCTAGGCTCCCACTCACCTGCCAGAAGCCCAAAGCGCCCTAATGATAAACAAGAAGAAAGGCACCGTGAGAGCGGCAAGCAGGCTCTCTGGAACTCTCAACCTCCCTCAGCCCAGCTGCCAGAGACAAAAGATAAAGTTCAAACTTGAAGCACTAGGTTTTTAACTTAGACAGTGAACATGATGGGGACCTCCGGCTGTACTAGTTGTTTAACAATTGACATTGTTAATTGGCAAGGTGCATTGGAATTGGAAAGCTTCTATCCAGCTTACACTGGTAGGATCTATTGGTTTTGTCAATAATAACCTTTAAATTAATTTATTGATTGATCTGAGAGATCGGGTTGGGGGGGCAAAGAGCAGAGAAAGAAGGAGAGAGGAAGAAAGGAAAAGAGCACTCTCATTTGCAAGTTCACTCCCCCAATGCCCATCACAGGCAGGACTGGTCCAGGCCCAAGTCAGGAGCTGGGAACTCAATTCGCATCTCCCAAATGGGTGGCAATGACCTAACTACTTGAGGTTTCATCTGCTGTCTCCCAGAGTCCACATTAGCACGAATCTAAAATTGGAAACGGAGCCAGGAATCAAATGCAGGCATTCTGATATGGGATTTGGGCATCCTAGCCAGTATTTTAACCACTAGGTCGAGTGCTATCCCCAGGTAAGATCTTTTGCTCTCTTTCTCTCTAGCGTTTTGGTTGGGTTCAGGATAGACTCTTGGAGCCACCTTCCCTGAGACCCCTGTGGGTCCTGACTACTGTAGTGTTCCCTGCCTCTGTCTGTCCCTGACCAAGCACCCTGGACATGGCCTGTGGATTCTAACTCAGCACCGAAGTTGGGCATTTGGTTTTTGGACATTTCCCTAAGAATGAGTTTCAGCCTCTTCTCCCTTGAATTTCCCATTGTTAACCCCAACATAACATCAGCCTACAACCTTTAGGCTTCCTTGAGGGACCAGATCCTAGTCTCCAGTTCTGAGAAGCCCTGTTCTGCTTGGGGTGACAACGAACTCACAATTCTTCTAATTCATTTGCCCATCACTGTACCCTCTGATTTCTCTTATAATTATTTTTTTGCATTACTATCTTTCAAAAGATTTATTTATTTATTTGAGGGGCAGAGTTACAGACAGAGAGAGGGAGAGACAGAGTGGTCTTTCATCCACTGGTTCACTCCCCAAATGATTGCAATGGCTGTGCTAGGCCAAGCCAAAACCAGGAGCCAGGAACTTCCTCGAGGTCTCCCATGAGGGTGCATGGGCCATCTTCCACTGCCTTCCCAGGCCACCAGCAGAGAGCTGAATAGGAAGAGGAGCAGCCAGGGCATGAATCAGCACTCATATGGTGCCGCCACTGCAGTTGGAGGCTTAACCGACTACACCACAGCCGGCCCCTTTTGTATTATTATTTAACTTTATGTTCTGCAATACAGAGTGTTAGATCATGCTTTCCTTTTATTATAGAGTAGCAAACCTGTAGTTGGACACTTCACTTGGCAGCCACCTTGCAGGTAGGGCAGCTCCATGACTAAGTGCTGGCCAAGGGAATATATTCACAAATGAAGTGTGCCACGGCCAGGAAACCCTAAAATACCAAGGGTGCACTGTCCATGCTCTTTCCCCTTCCTGCAAGTTGGAGTGCAAACAGGCTGTTGACTCAGCTCCGAACATTCAGACCACAGCAAAGCCCGGGGAACCCAAAATCAAAGTAGTCCTGGCACTAGTTTCCATCAACGAGGAAAAAAGTTCAGAAGTTGTGAACAAACACTAAGAAATGACTCTAGCAACTTGAAATTGCTGTGAGATGCAAGTGGATTTGTTTCTGAACAGCATATAAACAGAAACATTGATTTTTGATACAATTAAGAATAATTTCTATTGAAAGAAAAGAAAACTAATCTTCAGCCACAGAGTGTGAGGAGCACTACCTCAGTGGAGGGACAAGATGAAAGGAACCCTTCAAAATCAGGGCTGCTTAACATAAGAAAAAAAGAAGCTTCTTGTAGATGAAGGAGTTCTCAGAATGAGAACCTAAGTGTGGCTGGCTGGTCCTGGCAGCTTCTAGCAAGTAGTATAAGCAAGAGATGAGCTCAGGCAAGAATGGTAGGTTTCTAAGCAAAGGTGGAAAGGGATGGACAGTGTCTAGAAACTGAGTACCTTGCAGGATTGGAAAAGTTCACCACTTCTCTTACCCCAGAGTAGAAAATGGTATCACAGCCTCTCCTGAAGACTTCCCAATAAAGCGCTGCTGTTGAACACAAGGCAGACCTGTTGTACAGGTCAGAAGAGGACCTCAAAGGAGACACCACGTGACTGAAGAGAAGAGAGATGACCCAAGTGCAGAGGCTAGGAGATAAGGTATGCTTAGGAACCTGCTCCACAACAGAATTTGGACGTGTTCACTGGCGTGTGGCACTGACTAGAAGAAGATAAGAAACCCATGAAGTCCTTAAGGACTCATATTGCCAGGGAAGCCACAGCTTGGCCAGGAAAGGCCCATGTTCTCCCCCACAGGGCAAATGCAGTCCAACAGCCACTCCCAAGATGCCTACAGTGGGCCAAGAACAAGGAAGGACTTCCCAGGGGACAGAGCCAGAGTTAGGGCCTCTTTGAGAGAGCAGAAGCAGGGATTAGCCACAGAGCTTACTCCACTCCCAGAAAAGGGGCATCTGAAGAATTCTAGCCTAGCAGGGCTTCGGCAGTTTGAGGCACCTGGGACTGCTATGGTCACCAGTTCTTCTGAATGGCAGTTGTTATGGTGGTTTTCTTGTAGATGTTTCTCAGTCAGAACAAAGAAAGGAAAGAACATTTTAGCCTGGATATTTAAGACAGAGGTTGGAGAAGGGAGAGCCCGAGGTGTAGACTTCTGGGACAGCCTACATCCTTAGAGCAAGCACCATGGGCTGTGACATGGGAGCGGCAGAATGTGGGGCAGAGGAGTGGAGGCTGGGTGTCACCTGCACCAGGCTCTTCACCTTTGGCAGTGGTTCTAAACTGGCGCATGGCTGACCTGGCCAGCACTTTTGCCTTCTTCCCTAAAAAATGACATAATTAGTACAACAATTGGAGACAGTTACTGAAAAGATTAAATAAAAGTGATGCTTGCAACACAGCACACAGAAAGTATTAGATAAATGGTAGACTGTACTTCCCAAGAAGGTTAGATGACTCAACATTTCTAGAAAGTTCAAGGAAATAAACTGGCATTCTGGGAGATTAATTGTGCATGCTCTCTAATACTACAGTTTAACAGGAATGACAACGCCATCCTAGAATGACACTAAAATAATTATAGCTCAAGAAAGAAATTTCTTGCTTGAATATGGGCTCAGCGTCACAGTGACTAAGCTTCAGACAGTGCTCAAAACAGAGCCTAGGAGGTAGCAGTAGGGGAGGGGAAATGAGGCAGGAGGGGAGGCAACACAGTGTGGTGGAAGACAAAGGATTTGGATTCGGGGTTCAAATCCCCGAAATAAGCAGATGAGCCAAGTGGTTAGAATATGTCACATCAGTGGTGACAAACTAAAAGCTTTTTCATCAAGAAACAAGGCAAGGATGTCCACTCATCACTTCTAGTCAGTATACTACTGGAAGTCCTAGCCAGAGCAATTAGGCAAGAAAAAGAATTAAAAGGCATCCAGAAAGGAATGAAAAATAAAATTATCTCTGTCAGCAGATGACATGATCTTATATGTAGAAAACACTAACAATTCCCCAAGGAAACCTATTAATAAATTAATTTGGTAATGCTGCAGGGCAAAAAATAAATATAAAAAGAATTGGTTGCATTTCCATATATGATTAATGAACAATCCAAAACAGAAATTAAGAAAATGATTATGTTTACAATAGGATCAAAAGGAATAAAACACTGAAGAATACATTTGATCAAGGGGCAAAAGATTTGTATACCAAAAACTATAAGACACTGATGAAACAAAATCTTTAAAGGCACAAATCGAGACCAGCATTGTGGCACAGTGGGCTAAGCTGCCCCTTGAACACCAGCATCCATATCAGAGCACTGATTCAAGTCCCAGCTGCTCTACTTCCAATCCAGCTTCCTGCTAATGCACCTGGGAAGGCAGGCCCGATGAGTTGGGCCTCTGCCACCCACCCACACGGGAGACCTAGGTTAGTTCCCGGCTGCTGGTTTTCACCTGACTCAGTCCTGGCTGATGCAGCCAGCTGGGTGTGAACCAGTGGATGAAAGATATCTCTCTGTCTCTGTCTCTTTTTATGTCATTCTGCCTTTCAAATAAGTATTTTTTTTAATATGGAAATAAGTGGTTTTCCATTTTCTTTTTTTTAAATGATTTATTTATTTATTTGAAAGGCAGAGTTAGAGAGAAAGAGAGAGAGAGATCTTCCATCTGCTGGTTCACTTCCCAAATGACTGCAACAGCCAAGGCTAGGTCAGACTGAAGCCTGGAACCAGGAGCTTGATCCAGGTTTCCCATATGGGTGCAGGGGCCAAAAAAGTTGGCTATCTTCCACTGCTTTCCCAGGCACATTAGCAGGGAGATAGACTGGAAGTGGAACATCCAGGACTTGAATTAGTGCCCATAAAGGATGCTGGTGTCACAGGTATTGGCCAAGCTTGTTATGTCACAACACTAGCCCCAAAATAAATTTTTTTTTCAAAAGAGACAAATAAAGTGCAAGATATCTATGTTCACGGATCAAAGGCTTAATATTGTTAACATATCCAAAGTCATCTAAAGAGTCAATTAATCTCTATCAAAATCCCAAGGGCAGTTCTCATAGACATAGAAAACAACAACCCTCAAAGTTATATGGTACAACAGACTCTGAATAACCAAAACAATCGTGAGAAAGAATAAAGGTAGAGCCTCCCATTTCCTGATTCCAAACACAAAGCCACAGTCATTAAACACTATGGCTGTGGCATAAAGATAGACATATAAACTAATAGAACACAATTATAAAGGCCAGAAACAAATCCATCAACTGGTCTTCAATAAGGGTGCCAAGAACAGGAAGAAGAAAGCCACTTCAACAAATGGTGCTGGGCAAATGGGATATTCACATGCAAAAGGGCATGGCCTCTGGAGCTAACCAGCCTGAGTTAAAAGTTATGTTTATCAGCAAGTTAGTTAATTTCCCTGTGCCTTAATTTTCTCATCCACAAAATGGGAATAGCCAAGAGTGCTTTCTTCCTAAGGCTGTCAGAAGATTTAAGTAAATAAGATGCTTAGAATAGTCTCTGACAAGTAGTGCTACTTAATTCCTGTTTCCATCAGTGGGGCCTAGGTCAAGTTCTTTAGCTTCTTGGAGCCCCAATTTCTGCCAAAATCAAATGTGTTGAGTTACTAGATAATATAAAACATGCATTTCACTCCTAGTCTAGGGGAGTTGTAGAAAGTCCGTTGAGTTCCAGGGTGAGCCTGTTCCCAAGGGGTGGAGAGCCAGGGCCCCAACAGAGACCAGGGGGAAGAAGGAGACGATGGGAGGAGGCTCTTGGGTAGGTCACTGGAACACTGGAACCATCCCAAGGCCAAGGCCTTTTCTCCTCTATCAGCTCCCTGCTCAGAGTCACTAGCTGGTGTTTTTCACTGTCCTTGAAAGCCTTTGGTCCCAGATGCATACATATAATCAGGGAAGAGGGAGAGAGCCAGCTGGGCTGAAAACCTGACATTTAACATTCTAACTATCTTACTTACCACACTTCCTCTAGACCACCCTGTCAGGAGTAATCCATCAAAATCCATTCACTGATACAGGGTAGAATGGCTTTCAAAATGAGTTCATGTCTCTTTCCCTGCCTGACCCCACAGTGAAATGGGCAGTAAAACCTTCTCCACTTCACAGAGAAGAAAACTTAAACCAGGAAACTGAAGCACCCCAACCAGCCCTCACCCTCCTGGCATGGGGCTCTTTCCACCACACTGACCACTGGAGCCTCTTCTTCATAGCAAATGCTCTGCCCCCATGGGAAATGCAATTTGTAGATTTGTTCTTCCTGATGACATCCGTGCCTTTTGTAAACATTTACTGATGCTAGGAGAAATACAATCTGACTCTGGTCTGGGCATCAAAGATTTGCAAGAGTAACCATCCTTGGGATTTCTGACCAGAGTTTATGGGGGGGAAGGCCTATGTAATCAAATGGAAATGTCAGAAGAAAACTCTAAATACATGATAGAACATAGCAATGATTAGTCAGTTCACCCGTTTCAGAGAAAGAAGCAAAGCAACCCTGTTTACATCTAGCATGTTGAACGATGGAGCTTAACACCTTCTCCCAAAGCACTATATGTTCCTCATCAATGAACAGACTTTGGAATGAGGCTACACACACCAATGATTTGAGTGTGTGGCTCAATGGATTAAGCCTCCCCTTGGAATAACCACATCCCCTATTGGAGTGTTGGTTTGACTCCAGCTACTCCACTTCTGATCCAGCTTCCTGTTAATGCATCCTGGAAGGCAGCAAGTGATGGTTCAAGTGCTTGAGTGCTTGCCATCTATGTGGGAGACCTGAATGGAGTTCCTGGCTCCTGGCTTCAGATATTTCAGGGGTGAACCAACACATGGAAATTTCTCTCTGTCACTCTGCCTTTAAAGCAGAGTGAAAATAAGTAAACATTTTTAGAAAGAAAACAGTATGTAAACAAACTGAAAAAGACTAATGATGGTCTGGTAGCAATCCATGGAACTTGAATGTCGCTAACATTCCACCCCCTTTCCCTCTGCTGCAAGTCTCTGGAATTTGCACATTGGTGAGTTATACACATGTAATGTAATGGTCCTGTTATAATGGATTCTATCCAACCATTGAGTTCACTCACTCTTGTCCAGTTAACATTTCCTCACTGTTCATGGCATGTAAGACAAACAGATGCACAAGACTTGAATAAAGATTTGAAATGCCCTTAGGAAGCTCTTAATCTAGTGCAGCGGGTACCCAGGCAGAACCAATCCTCTCTTCCTCTCAGGAAGCAGTTAGCAATACCTAGAGATGTTTGTGACAGTCAAGACTGGGAGTGGGGTTGACATTGTGGCATAGTGGGTTAAGCCACCATCTGTGACATCAGCATTCTAATATGGGTGCCAGTCCCAGTCCCAGCTACTCCACTTCTGATTCAGCTAATGCACCTGGGAAGGCAGTAGAATAAGGCCCAAGTCTTTGGGTCCCTACCACCCATGTGGGAGATCCAGATGGACTTCCAAGCTTCTGGCTTTGGCCTGGCCCAATCCCAGGTACTGTGACCATCTGGGGAGTGAACCAACAGATGCAAGTTCTCTTTCTCTTCTTCTCTTTCTCTAACTCTTGCAAGTAAATAAAATAAATCTTAAAAAAAAAAAAAGGACCAGGGTGTGCTACTGGCATCTACTGGGTGGGGGCCAGGGATGCTGCTCCCCATGTGACAATGCCCAAGACATCCTTCCACAATAAAGCCAAAATGCCAACAGTGCCAAGGCCGAGAAACCCTGATATACAGTTTGGGGTAGGACATAGAAGGATAGTACTGGAGTAAGTTTGGTCC